CTATCATTAGGGCCAAGGGAGAGCTCATGCTTGAGTATAAGGCTGAGAATGCCTCTTACTGGAACCCGGACGAGGGTATCCAGCTCAAGCAGGAGATGATGGAGTAGGGAGCCGCTGGGCATGCGGAGGAGCAGATTGATGAGTAGGTGCTCAATTTTGCTAGCCAGCCGAGGCCGTCGATTACTGAGGATATGAGAGACCAGGCTACAGGGGTGAGTGGTAGTGCTAGTGATAGGGTGATCGAGTCGGAGATGGGTGAGATGACTCACACCGGTGATACTTAGCTTTATTTTTGTTTTTGCTCATGTATTTTGGGGCCTACGATGCCCTTTCCTGGCGTGTATGCCTCACATTGTACTTGGAACTTAGCCGCTTGAGGCTTCTTCTATATTATACTTGTGATTCTGTTTTTGATGCTTTCCTTATGGGTGAATGAGTTGTTGATTGCTTCTTTGTTCGTAGATGCACTAGGGGTTAAACTGCATGCTTGTGTTATGATTTTGGTGTGACCTAATGGCTAAGTCGTGTGGACTCTCTATTGGGGTGGGTCAATGACTTGTTGATTTTGAGGTGTAAGAACCCTTCAGTTGGTCTAGGCTGACTGAATGTGTAGCTTCATGAATCAGGCAGGGCCGATTGGAAGGTGTAAATCCATGGATTAGGCAGGGCCGATCCAAAGGTGTAAATCCATGGATCAGGCAGGGCTGATCTGAAGGTATAAATCTATGAATTAGGCAAGGAAGATCTGAAGGTGTAAATCCGTGGATTGGGCTAGGTCTATCCGAAAGTGTAAACTCATGAATCAGGTAGGGCCGATTCAAAGGTGTAAAACTCATGGATAGGATAGGGCCGACCGAAGATGAAAATTGCTGAATAATACTTCATTGAATTCAGGCCATCAGGCCGACTGTCTATGAAGGAGATGGATAGGCACACTCATCCCTTTTAAATAAAAACAAAAAGAAAACAAGCATGTAAACGAATGAGTTCACCTAAAAGTAGTAGTGTTTGAGGACTGTTGCTGATGTCTTTGCCTTTGAGAGTCTGGAGTCGGTAGGTGCCCTTACCCGCTCATTTGGTGATCTTGTAGGGACCCTCCCAGGTGAGGCCGAGTTTGCCAGGGTTGATCTCCCTAGTATTTTGAAAGACCGTGCGGAGGACCCAGTCACTTGCTTTGAAAATTATGATCCTTATGTTGCGGTTGTAGTGCCGGGCAGCTTACTGGTAGATTGTGTTGCGGATGCTCGCCCGCTTGCGTAGCTCATCGACGATTTCTAGGTTCTGGCAAAGGTTCTGGCAAAGGTTCTGGTTGTTGGTTTCCTCATTTGCCCATTGGAGTCTGGTGGAAGGAGCCGATACTTCGGCTAGGATGACTGCTTTAGATCCGTATGTAAGGGAGAAAGGAGTCTCGCCCGTGGATGAGCGATTTGTAGTTTGGTAGGACCAAAGGACTCCAGGTAGCTCATCTTCCCATGCACCCTTCGCTTTCTGCAGTCACTTCTTTAAGGTCTCCATGATGGTTTTATTTGATGACTCGACTAGGCCATTGGACTAGGGGTTGCGGGGGGTAGAGAAGCTTAGCTTAATCTCCCACATGTCACAGAAATCCCTAAAGTCTGAACTGATAAATTGGGATCCATTGTTGGTGATGATTTCCTTCAGTATCTCGAACCTACAGATGATATGTTTCCAGATAAAAGCTTTTACCTCTTGGTCTCTGACTTGTGCTAAAGCTTCGGCTTCGATCCACTTAGTACAGTAATCAGTCACAGCCAACAAGAAGACTCGTTTCCCGGGTGCGGTCGGTAGCTTTCCAACTATATCCATTCCCTACTTCATGAATGGCCAAGGCGTGAGAATGGAGTGGAGTAGCTCGGGTGGGAGATGTAAGACATGGGCGAACCTCTGACAACTGTCACACTTCTTAACATAAGCCGTCGAATCAGTGCATATGGTTGGCCAATAGTATCCAGTGGTGATCACCCGATGTGCGAGGCTGCGTCCTCTTGCATGGTTTCCACACTCGCCTTCATGGAGTTTGGCTAGAACACATTTGGCCTCTTCTAGGCCTGTGCACTTGAGGTAGGGACCAGAGAATGATTTCCTAAGGAGTTGACCCTCATATATTGTGAACCTGACGGCTCTTGCTCGTAGGTGGCATGCTTCGTTTTTGTCAGTCGAGAGCTCGTTGTGTTCCAAGTACTTCACTATCGGGGTCATCTAGCAGTCAACCAGTTCGATGTCCATTGCTTCTTCGGGCAACTTGTTTGCTGGTTGTTCATTCCAGTTGGTTGGCCATTGTAGGAATAACAGAGGGATGGATGATTGGGAAGAATGTTGAAGTGCTGAGCTGAGGTTAGCAAGGGCGTCAGCATGAGAGTTCTCCACTCTTGGGACTTGGGCGATGGAGAATTCTTTGAATTGGGTATGCAGCTCTTTGACCAGGTTCAAGTAGGTCGTCATCTTCGAGTCGCATGCTTGGTGAGTGCCTTGTAGCTGGTTGACCACGAGTTGGGAGTCAGACTTCACCTCCAGCCTCCTTACTCCAATTTCTTTGGCTAGGGAGAGTCCAGTGATGAGAGCCTCATATTCAGCTTCATTGTTCATGCACTTGAAACCACATCGTATGGCTCACTGGATGACATCTCCCTCTAGTGTAGTTAGTACTAGCTCGAGCCTACTTCTATTCACATTGCTTGAACCATCCACTGAGAGAGTTCACTTAGATGGTGACTCACTGTTCATACATAATAACTCTCTTTCTGCTTGGATGGTGGTGCTCGGAGTGAAATCAACAATGAAGTCTACCAGTGCTTGGGACTTGACAACAGTACATGGCTGGAAAGATATGTCGAACTCACTAAGCTCTACTGTCCATTGCGTGAGTTGGTCTGATAGCTCTGGCTTGTGCAGTATCTTCTTGAGTGGAAAAGAGGTGAGTATGACTATGGAGTGGCACTGAAAGTATGGCCTGAGCTTCCTGGATGCATGGATGAGGGCGAGGGCCAGTTTCTCCAACTGACTGTATCGTGTTTCTACATCGAGGAGTGACTTGCTTACATAGTAAACCGGTAGCTGCTTCGTATGATCTTCATGAACTAACACTACTGAGATTGCTGTTTCTGAGATCGCCAGATAGGTGTAAAGCTTCTCCCCATCCACAAGCTTGGAAAGGAGCGGAGGGGAGGTCAGGTATCTCTTCAATTGTTGCAAGGCTTCCTCACAGAAAGGGGTCCACTCGAACTTCTTGGATTTCTTGAGTGTGTGGAAGAAAATGTGGCACTTGTTGGCGGATCTGGAGATGAAGCGGCTTAGCGCAGCTACTCATCCTATGAGGTGTTGGACGTCTTTGATACAGGTTGGTGATGGTATATTGAGGATCACTCTGATCTAGTCGGGGTTGGCTTCTATCCCTCGTTGAGTTACCATGTATCCCAAGAATTTACCTCACGAAACATCGAATGAGCATTTGGCTGGATTCAACTTCATGTTATACTTCTTTAGGACAGCGAATGCCTGGCTGAGGTGGTCGAGGTGTTGCTCGGCTATCAGGGACTTGACGAGCATGTCGTTGATGTAAACCTCCATTGTGTTCCGGAGGTGTTTGGTAAACATTCTGTTGACTAGCCACTGATAGGTAGCCCCCGCATTCTTGAGACTGAATGGCATCACCTTGTAGTAGTAGGTTCCCCTCTCTGTGATGAAGGTTGTCTTCTCCTGGTCGTCAGGGTGCATCAAAATCTGGTTGTACCCTGAGAAAGCATCCATGAAACTTAGGAGCGCTTGGCCTTCGTTCGCATCGACCATCATGTCGATATGTGGGAACGGGAAGGAGTCATTTGGGCATGCTTTGTTTAAGTCCGTGAAATCAATACAGACCCTCCACTTTCCATTCTTTTTCTTTACGACCACAACGTTTGCTAGCCATTCGTCGTAGTGGACCTCTCTGATCATACCATTACTCAATAACTTTTCAATTTCTTTGTTGACGATCCAGTTGCGCTTTGGTGCGAACTTTCTTCTCCTCTGCTTTACTGGCAGGTGATCTGGATCTACTTTGAGGTGGTGGACCATTGCCTCTAGGCTGACTCCTGTCATGTCAGCGTGGGACCAGTGAAACAGTCCTGGTTTTGTCTGAGGAATTCTATGAATCTCTCTCTTGTCTCGAGCCTGAGGCAAGAACCTATATAGGTCTTTCTTTTGGGGTCTTCTGGGTGTATCTGCATTTCATCCAACTCTTCCATAAATGGTTGATGTGGCTCGATCGGAGGGATCGGATGGGACTGTAATTGCTATGAAGCATTACCTTTGCTTTTGAAGGTGTTCTTGTAACAGTCTCTGGAAGCCTTAGGGTAGCTCTTGATTTCCCGTACTCCTCATTTGGTAGGAAACCTGATCATTTGGTGGAAGGTGGATGGAACAGCTCGCATGTTGTGGATCCAAGGTCAGCCCAAGATGACGTTGTATGGTGAAGGATAGTCGATCACTAGAAAAATGGTATGCTTGTTTACTTCCATGGCATAGACAGGAAGGACGATCTCTCCGATGGTATATTTCTGATCGGAACTGAACTCGACATGTAGGGTCGGTCGTCTGTTGATGTTTGTTTCTTCCTGACCCATAGCCTTTACTGCTTCAAGGAAAAGAATGTTTGCTGAGGATCCCCCATCTATGAATACCCTCTTGACCAGGATATTGGCGATCTGGAGCGAGATGACAAGAGTATCGTGATGTAGGGCGGCCAGAGTGATCGGCTCGTCATCTTCGAATTGAATTACCTGGTGGGAGTGTGACCGAGAAGGCGAATGAATGGATTAGATTTCAAGGTGGCTATTGGCTTTGGCGTAGCATTTGGCTAAGGAGTAACTAACCTCACTGATCTTTGACCCTCTGGAGATGAGTGAACAAAATCCTTTTAGCATAGGTTCCCGCGGAGGTGGAGATGTTTCTTTCGTGCTTTTCTGGTTGATGGTGTTCTTCCCTTTATCTGTCAACAGGTCTCAGAGATGTCCCCTCTTCAATAGTGCAGTGACCTCCAATCGTAGGGTAATGCAGTCCACGATGTTATGTCCATGGTCGCCATGGAATTCGCACCACTTGGTCATGTCTCTCCTTGCTTCGACATTGAGCTTGCCTGGCCACTTAACGCTAGATCCCATTCCTTTCATGATCACCATAACTTGGGCTGGTTCGACGTTGAGGTTGTATTTTGGGATTTTGTATCGGATCAGTCCGGTTGGTCTATTGTCGATTCTAGGTAGCTGGCGGTCATATGGTTTTCTGACTTTGTTTAGGTTACATGGAAAGGGTTGGTGACGGGGTTCAATCGATCTAAACTTTGGCCTTCTATCATTCCGCCTCGAGTCATACCTAGCATGACTTGCCCGATTCATCTCATCCTCCTCCCACCTTATTTGAATCATTGCTCTGGCCAAGGCATCTTCCATCGTGGTGCAACCGAGCTTCGTCAGTTCTTTGCATAATTTACCATCCGGGAGGAGACCCTTCCTAAAGGCGTCTACGGCTGTCTCGGGGTTACAAGAAGGGATGTAAATTTTTTCTTTGTTGAATTTGCTGACGTACTCTCTCAGTGGCTCCCCCCTTCTCTGGTATACTCTATACAGGTCAGCTGATAGTTTCTCAAGTTTCTTGTTGCTGGCGAATTGCTCCACAAAGATGTTGGTGAGCTGTGCGAATGAGTCGATGGAACCGTTCGGGAGGTTGGTGTACCACTGAAGAGCTGGACTAGATAAGCTTGAACCGAAACTATTACACATGCAAGCTTCCCTTAGCATTCGAGGTATCAAGACGGTGAACATTTGCTGCTTATACGAGGCTATGTGATCATCTGGGTCGGTTGTGCTGTCATAGGGCTTCATGCTAGGGATAATGAATTTGTAGGGCATGCCGGCTAGCGTGATCGCATCCATGAAGGGCGAATCAGCGTAGCAGTAAGGCTTGCTCTTTTTGGTGGGGATCGACATTCTTGGTATGCACCTCATCACTGCCTCTACATTGGTGCGTGTTTCCTACAACATGCAAATGTAGCAAGTATACTAGTCGCATAAAGTAATAAAGTGATAAGTAGAGTATTGTTCCCATGAGGATAGTGTTACTAAGTACCGATTTCCTTAGTTTAAGTCCTAATTAAAGCAACAATAAATTGGATTGATGGAAAATTAACAACTAAATACAAATTAACAAAATATAAATGAATGATAATGAAATTAAAGCAAAACCCAATAACTTAACTAATTAGACAATGCTAAAAAATGCTAGGGTGTTGATTTCACCTAGATACGCTAACCCAAATCATAGAATCTATTACCCAAGTTCTAATTCCTTGATTGAAAATCGAATTCCCTAAGTTGTAAAACATACCTTCTCAGGCTACATTTCTCTACTTATCCCTATTAAGCTTCCGCACCCAACAAATTGAAGATTAATAGTTCAAAGTCTTTTAAGCTTTATGGAATTCTATCTAGATTTCATAGATCGCTAAACCTATCTCTAGCATTTGCTTAATCTACGGTATTTATCCTAAGAGGCACAATCACAAATCACGTCTCAGTCTCATTGTGAACAACACACATTTGAATGGTGATCAAGCATCCAAAAGTCATTAAGCAAAGAGATAAACACTCAATCGTGAAATTAAAACTCAAAGTAAATCAATTCATATAAATTTGAATCATTGTATCAAGGTTACATCAAACCCTAGCTAAACAACTCAGTTCATACTAAAAAACGAAATAAAATAACAAAAACAAACTGAATCAAGATTCATCATTGAAAAACAAGCAAAAGATGGAGAAATCTTCTCTAATTTGAAGCCCAAATCTTCAATAATCTTCTCCTTCCATGAGATGCCTCCCAAATGACGAACCAAGAATCCTTTTCTCTTCCTTTTTGCTCTAATTCATACCTCTCTCACTTAAGGATGAAACCCTAGCAAGCCAAAATGCATCGTTTTATTTTTACATCTGATGCAGGTTTCGCCGCGACGAATCTTTTTCCTCGCCGCGGCGAAGACTTTCAGGCCAAATTTGAGCCTGATAGATTCTGAATCTAGAAACGTGTTAAACATATTAATTTTAGCCCTTTAAAATTCAAGAATAAGCACAATCCGAGGTCTACAGCTCAAGTTATGGCAGAAATACTGAAGCACGTCCAAAGACGTTTTTTCTTCAATTCCCATTGTACTTTTCACGACTTCAAGCCAGGTTTTCACCCTTTTCCAGTCGGAATTAGGAAAAACCCAAAACATGAAAGTTATAGCTCTTCTTCTTAGCTTTCCAAAGCTTCTAAATTCAGTCATTTCGAGTTTCCAAGCTCAAGTTACACAATTTACGCTAAAAACTATCATTTATGCTAAAAATCATCGTTTAGGCCTGCAAGGACAAATTAATAGAATTAGGTAGCAATTATTGCCCAAATTTTATGAAAAGTATCCTAAATCCTATCAAAATTCAATGCAAAATCATAGTGTAAAATATGATTATCATACGTCGGCCAGTCTCTTGGCCAATATCTGTTCCATGGGAGAGGGGAATACCACTAGGTAATCCCGCTTGACTTGGTCAGCCATAGGATTCGCACTTGGCACATTTTGTTGGGTCAATCTACGTGGTATAGCCTGGTTGATCATTCCTTCATGTATCACTTGGTAGCTTGGATCACCGTTCATTTCCTCCAGTTGGGTGACTCCCATTGTAACTGATCGGGTGTTTCACCTCACATGAATGGTTAAGGGGGTTGTTTGGCACTCGCTCGGTCTGTTGGGATGGATGGACTTGAGCGGGATGGTTTGGTGTGGGTGACCACTCGACCCGCAAGGGTGAACCGAGCCAAATGGAGCTTGTGTAGGGATGGTTGACTGAAGGTAAGGTGGGATGGCGAGGATGGACTATTCTTGTTGTAGCGAGCTTTCTGTCACTTGGATGCCTTGATCTTATGCCTGAGGCGGATCGACCGTGAGGGGTTCCGTTGGCAGATCCCTTTCTCCATGAATCAGGACCGAGTCTCGACCAATGACGAACATAATTTATGCGACCTTTTATCTGAGGCCGCATGTCTGTGCTCTAGAGTTTGGAGAGGTTGCATAGATGGAACCGAAGCGCGAAACTGATTGGGTGGTACCTGACATGGCAGAAGCTCAAGATCATAAAACTGACTTACCTTCTCTTTCAGAGACTGGTTTTTTTGCCCTGATGGAGGCATTTTCGGTCCGGATGGTAGTGTTCTCAGCTTCCAGTGCGGCCACCTTGTCTGAGTTCTGTTGCATGTGGGCGGTCAAAGCCTCCAGTTTGGCCTCGAGGTTAGGGTTAGCATTGTCAGAATTGTTAGCCATGGAAAGTTTCTTCACATAGCAAGGTTCGTTGAGCCGAATGATTGTTAGAGGCCCCACGGTGGGCGCCAAACTATAGACGTAAAAATCTACATATACAGAAGGAAGGACTGATCTCGTGAGGTTGAGGCCACTAGCGATCTGCTGTACCTACAGACATGGAGAAACAAACGTGAAGCGACAGAAAACACCAGGGTGGTGTTTGTCATAGGCACTCCGACACTCAAGCCAGCAAGGCTGAAAGAGGCTGATTTAGTGAGGGCTAGGGAGTAGAGAGGTTACCAGAAGTCTAGTCGGGGACTGTGACTACGACTGTAAAGTGAAGTTTTCAAGTAGGAACTCCGGGGCTAAAGGTGTAATGTAATCTGCCTTGTGAGAGGGCTGGCCTCTGTTTAAATAGTGACTGTTTGGTCTCCTAATCCTAGTAGGATTGGAGTTCTCATAGTAATCGTTTTCCCCTAGGGATGTCTCTTTTGGCCCCTTTATCCTAGGGTGAAAGGGAGTTCGAGTATGATTCAGATACAGATGTTGGAGGAGTTAGGGTAGTAGTGGACTACCTTATCAGAGTTCAAGTAAAAGTGTGATCCGTAGTTGACTATGAGCTCCGAATTCGGCCATAGGCATAGATGGTGTGCTAGGATCAGGAGGCCTGGGTCCAAATGGTATGGACTGGCTGTACTTCATACCGAATGTACCTCATTTGGGGAATTCTGGCTCGGGTCACATCGGGACTAGGCCTGGGCTTAACTCTTTGTCAGATGTGTTATCCTATTTGGGCCGAGGACATTTTTTGGCCCTAACATATAGTATCGGTGAGTACTATATATGTAATATGGAGTTAGTAGTGTACAAAACTGCAAAGAACTATATTTGTGTTATTATTTTACAAACTTGATTTGTTAGTATATATCTTTGTATGTTAACGAGTCAGTATGTTACAATATGTAATGTACGAGTAGTGTCTTTGTATTTAAGATACAAGATGATATGTAATTCGTATGAATGATATATGTTAGGAAATACAGAGAATTGTATTAATGTCAGTATTGAGTCACTTAGAGTCTAAGCGGAAGTCTTGAGTTGGAAGATTGGTTTTCCTCTTTAAAATATTAATTTATTTAATCTATTCCTACTATATGACTATTTATTTGTAAATATTGTTTTGGAAAGTAGATTATGCTAATTGTAATAAAAAATTAAATTAAATAAGGTCCAATTAGATAGCTACTAAAAGAAACGAGGGTTTAAATGAGATGATATAGGGTTTTATCGAATAATTTAAACAATGGGGGTTTTGATATCTGTGCCAGCTTCAGTGTGAAGTCCATGAATTGACGTTTTCGGCTCAAAAGGAGGGCATTTGTCTTGGGTATTGAAGAAAAAACACCCTGACTTTCAATTTGTATCACTCTCAATATCGCAATGTCACTCTCACATTCACTCTTTCATTGCTGATGGAATCATTTTTTTATTGTGTTTAGATTGAACCGTTTCCTCATAATAGCTGGATGGAATCTTTGCTTAACGGTGACGTTCTTAACTCTTATTAAGTGTTTGAGGTTGGTGTTCTTCGCTATTCTTCATGGTATTTCCTGAGAATGTATTTCACGATGGCTGTTGGCTTCTTTAGCGTGGTGTTCTTTACAGAAGTTGCTGCATTCTTCACTTGGTGTATGTCTTAAAAACTTTAATTTTGGTGTATTCTTGTTCTCTCTTAATTTTTGCTTCTAGAAAAATTAGAAATCGAAAGGTAATTTTAACGATTAAAACAAACTCAATTGTTTCATATTTAACTGATAATTTTAGGCCTCTCGGATTTTATTCTTCAATTGATGGGTTAGTAAGGTTTTATTTCATTTCAATTATTATTATTGCTTGAAAAGACCGGTTAATTTAGGGTCCGTTTGTTTTGTTATTTTAGATAGGATTTTTAAAATAGTATTGGGGAGTTGAGTTGGGTTATTATTACAAGAATAGGATTTGAATAAAATATGTTTAGTAGAGTGTTTTGACCTTGTTATTTGTGTTGAATAAATTGTTGAATATTTGTTTGATATATTTTTTTATAAATGATTTATTAATATAATATTTTGGTGCATTTTGTTAAAATAATTTATTATTATAACCTTAAAACTTATGAATTTACATTTTAATAATATTAAACATTTGATTGGTAATTTCGTAACCACTAAATATTAAAAAAAAAAAAAAAAAACCTATATTAATTTCAAGTACTAATCCAACTGTTTAAAAACACCACATTAATACATATATGACAAAGCTATTAATTATCAGCCCTTAGAATCGTTGTTACACGTATACTTCATTAACAACTATGACATGGTCATATGTGCTACCCACAGTTCAGTCGTTATGTTATCTAATAAAGTTGTCATGTTGTCTATAATACCTTGCTGCGGTTGACTCGATCCCTCTCCATTTCTGCCATCTTTTGCCCTGTTTTGGCTATCACAATATACTTGCTCATTACCCATATTTTCAATATACCGTTGGAAGATAGGGTCCTCCATATTGTACATTCTGATAAAATTATGAAGTACATAACATGCCATAACAATCTTCCCTTGTTTGTCCAATGGGTAATTGTTCATTCCATTGAGAATACGGAACCTTCTT